AAAAAAAAAAAAAAAAAAAAAATGAGAGAGAGAAAAAGAGAAGTGGAACAGAAATTACAATGAAGGCAAAAGTTGCCCAGAAGGAAGTTCCCTTATGAAACATTTCCATTATATAGCTGAAATGTTCTTTTACTTGAAACATGGTCTACGTTGCAACTCTCAATTAGAGTGGTGAGTATGTTTCATTTCTTCATTTTAGGTAGAAAATAGAACACATAAAAAGGCACACTTGTTACACAACAAACATCACAATGCTGAAATGACAAAATCTAGGACAGCAACTATAACGAGAAGGCAGGAGCTGCAGCACAGAACACGTTCTTGAATGCAGGGCCACAGCACAAGGTAACCATTGGTTATTTTACTGTAAGGTCATCAGATATATTGATTTTTTTCTCTTATGCAGTTTACTTATAGTTTATTTCAAAACTGTGTTAGTGGTTAGTAAAATGAGTTGGATTTAGATATATCAGTAAAAGTGATTATTTTCAACTGCATGTTCCAGTCCAAGCACAAATGTATCTTAAATCTGATGCTGGTGCTCTGATTAGATATTTGGCAATGCATTTCTAAAGTTCCTTAAAAAATTAAACATGTTTTATGAATATAAATTTTTTTAAAAGACAAACCTTCAAACTATATGCTTACTACTTTGGGGTTCTAGTGAGTTAAGGTAAAGCAAATAGCAAAATAATCACATTAAATTAATTTGAGTGCAACAAATAACATTTAATTTAACGAGGAGTAAAATTAGATAAAATGTACTAAATAACAAACCCACAAGCCATTTGAGTTCATAATAAGCAGGTCACAAACTTGCCTTCAGTTTCTTTACTAAATTCATGTATGCACGTCTATTCTCTTCAGATCCCCCTGGCAATGCGTTGGACAGGTCAGAGGCTAATGTTCCATTGATTAAAACACCCAGCATGTCAAGAACTGTTGTGAATAATTCACTAAGAGGGGACAGAAAAGAATTATTTTCACCTCAGAGCAAAACCAAGATAATCTTAACTGAGAATTTTTATTTAAGGCATAGAATGCACCTAAGAAAATAAGATGCGACAGAAATTAACATCAGTATATCAAAGCCTCTGCCATGTACACGCGTGGCAAAGTAAAGGTGAAATGATAAGTACATACTTGTTAGTGTGCATGTCAACGGTTCCAGAGGTAATGATCTGGAGGAGGAGGAGGGCCCAGTCTGTGGTCCATTGGGTGCTCCTCTGCACTGTGTCAAACATTCCTCCCACCTAGTACATAAAAACATACAATAAAAAAATCTGCATTGTGTTAAAGAGAAAAATACATTTTATTTAGCCAAATTTTGATTAATTAAAGAAAATCCTCAAAAAAAAAAAAAAAAAAAGAAAAGAGAGAGAGAAGAGAAGAGAAGAGCACCTGAGTGTGGGCACATGATCAATAGGAATTACAGCTGACCCTTGACAATGCATAGGCTTAGGGACAATGACCTTCCTCTTAGTAGAAAATCTACATATAACTATTCCTACTACTATAAGTCAGTATAATTAGCTTTCTTTTATTCCTAAACATTCAGGATACCCTCTCTTATGGTGTGATTTTAGTCGAATTAAATCTAAATAGGTCAAAACCACATAATCCAATTATCTCCACCTTTGTGCTGTCAATTACTATTGAATCTAAGCCTGTTGTCATAACAGCACTCAGAATTATCCAGTAACACAGAAGTAATGATGAGCAGGAGGCATGGCCCCCAGGTCTACTCTTTCACGTGTGGGAATTCTGTTGAAATCAATAATCAGTGAATATCCCCAGAGTGCCCTTCAGCTGGCTTGTCCAGTGGGAAAGAAAAATTCAAAGGAATGTTCAATGTGTGAGAACTTTAAATTTCTGAAAACCAAAATCTTCCATGTAGAATTTGTTGTTATGATCCATTTGATAATTCTGACTTAAATGTCATTTTAATATGGTTTTTAAATAAGCATAGTCAAAACTAACTTCCATCTCAGAATACTGGTTCTCTAAGTCCTCCTCTGAGCTCACACCCAAAAGGAGCGATTCCCTGGGGCGGTGCTGCAGAAGGCAAACCGTAGCCTAAAATGCCTACCTACTGCTGTCCGGAAGTTAGGCCAGACAGGAAGAACAGCAGCCAGGAAAACAGGAAGGTTAGAGGGACAGGGAAGTAGCCACAGAGAGCAAACAGCAGAGGGCCTCACCTTGCAATGAAGACTTGTGACGACAGTGGAAGTGGGAGGCTATGTAAGATAAGTTTAACGCAGGCAAGAGACTGGAAATGTCTTACCAAATTCAGGCGGAGCTGCAATGCTTCGTGCATCATCTGCCGTGCTTTTATGTCATGTTGGTATCGCTCTTCTCTCCAATTACTTAAGATCTAAACCAGACAATACATTAAAAAAAAATCCAGAACTGGTTTCCCCTGTTAAAATTAAATTTTTCATATTTTAAGTTAAATTGAGCTTTTACTGATGGTCAAAAATAACTTCTTGGTTTAACAAATTAAATAAAACTTTCCTCCCCTTCCACTAAGCAGACAGAAATCTGGCTATTTCTTTGTCATTACCTTTCCAGATGGGAGAAGAAAAATCTTTCCTAATTACTTATCCAGTAGTCTTAGAAAACGTTTTTAGAGGACCATCAAGTTAAACATTAACAAAAATAAAGATCAGTTTTTAAATACAGTTGACCCTGAACATCATGGGTTTGAACTGTGCAGGTCCACTTACACATGGATTTTTCAGTAAATATACAGGCAGCCCCTCTATAAATATGGGCTTCACATCTGAGAAACAGAATTTTTTTATCTGAGGTTGGAAATTTGCAGATTGTTCTTCACCATAAGGGACTGGAGCATTCTCAGGTTTTGGTTTCTGAATACCAGGAGGATGACTGGAGTTTTGGGAAAGCAAAAGTTATATAAATTTTTTTATTGTCTTGGGGTCGGTGCCCTTAAACCCCATGCAACTCAAGGGTCAACTATACATCATTACATCATTTCATTTGTCTTATAAAGATAAGTATTAGGCAGATAAAATTACATTTTATATCAGCTCTGGGTTATATTTCTAAGGACACGCTGTGAATCCTAGCAAATGTACTAGTATTATTTTAGTGTCCTTTTGAAGTGGAATCTTGTCTTCCTTGATAAAGATAATACATACTATTTTGAAAAAATGTGACAATTTGGATATTAGTTGCCGGGAGCCGGTCCATCCTTGCTGTTTCAAGGGACCTGGCATATATGGCATACAGGAACTTAGAAGACAGAACCTACACAGAACCTAGAGACAGAAGAACTTCGCTGGAGAGAACATGGCAAAAGATCCTGGACTGAACCTGACTACAGAAATTGGCAAGAGAACCTGACTGGAGATCCTAACCAGAACTTCGCTGAAGAACCTAGACATAGAACTTGGCTAGAGAACCTCGCTATGATTATCATCTGAATGCTGTCTCCGTGTCATTCCTTCTTCGCCGACTCCGTCCACACCTTTGGGGACCCCTGGACCCGCTGGGGTCGGACCCCAGCAATTAGTCAAGTGGCATATCCACTTATAAAGTGAGTGCTTCTTCCATGATTCAAACTAATGCTGGGAAAGGAAAGGTGTTCTTAGGAAGGGCAAACTGCAAGTGGGCAACACCCCAGGATCAGATGGCAGGAGCAAAAACAAATGCATACTGCCTCCCCCCGCCCCCTAAAAAATCTCATACTGTCATGCTCTGAAATATGTGTTAACTAATGAGAACCATCTTAAAATAGTTGAAATGAGTCACATGCAGAAGTAAGCCCAGCAGATGACCTGTAAGTATCCTGCAGGGTAAGAGGAGAACACTTCCTACAGCTCATCAAAAGAAATGGACTTCTCCCAGGCGAGATAAGGGTGCAAGGCAGGTAACAAAGCACACAAGCTGCCATGGAGCTTACATTCAAGGGGCAGGATCTTAGACAAATAGACAAACATGTAAATTGACTGTCCCTCCACTACATGTACCAGCCAATCAGGAGAGTATGCAAATTAACCCAACAAAGATGGCAGTTAATTTGCATACATAGGTGCAAAGCAGCGAAGCGAAGATGGAAGGCTCCGGGCCGGAGTGAAGGCCTGGGTCCCGAGTGCCGGAGGAAAACCAGTGCCGGCAGCCAGGGGAAGGGAAGGCCTATTGCACAAATCTCTTCGTGCAACGGGCCTCTAGTGAATAATAAAAAATCAGGTGCAACAAATGGTATGGACTTGGGCCAGGGGATAGAGAATGACGGTCGTTCTATTTTTAGAGAGTGATCAGGGAGGGCCTCCTGAAGGAGATGACCTGTGAGCAGAGACCTGATGAAGTAAGGGAGACAACCATGCACACATCTGAGAGGAAAGCCTTCCAGGTGAAGGAAGAAAAGATGCAAAGGTGCTGCAATGACAATTTGTTCAAGGACCAGCAATGTGGCCACTGTGAAAAGAATGGAGTGAGCAAGGCCATGGCAGGTAGGAAAAAAGGTAGAATGACAGCTAGTGCTAAATCACTAAAGCCTTATAAGCCCAGGCTTTTAATCTTTATTCTAAGTGTAGCAAGAATGATTGCAGCATTTTGGGCACCAAAGAAATGTGATTCACATTTAAAAAGGATTATTCTGGTGACTGTGTAGAGGATAGATTTCTCATATCCAAAAGGTAGAAGACAATGGGAGAACCAAGTAAGTGTCCTTGTTCATGTTCATCTAGTAAAAGACATGATGTCATAGAACCACAGCACCACAGGAGGGCTCCATTAGGCTCTGCAGCAGGATAAAACATCCCATGACCCACCCAACCACACTGCTCAATTCCACAATCTCCAGTTTCTAATGTGGTCACTAGTTTCCTTGTGGTACAGACAATGCAAGTGCCAGGGGAACTGTAGTTGCTGGAAAGACAAAGTCCATATTCTTTACAATGAACCAAAATGACTTCTGATTTATAAATGAGTATCTTGTGTACTTGACTGGTATCATCCTGGCTCTGGCAGTAAAATGAAATTGTGTTTCTACACCTACAGGGCTCAAGATGAGACCCTGCCTGATAGGTGGATGACCTCTTAGGTCTCAGATCTCTATTTCTGTCTTCCTGCCATGCCAACTGCTACAGGGACTTGCCCAGGACCCCTCCCCCGAGGCAGGATCAGGAGAGAACAGACATGTCCAAGTTATGTGTAATATGCAAATGTTACTTTTATAGTCTGTGGACATTAATATAAAATTGTTAATCTTGTGGTGACTAGAATGTCAGGTAGGAGAATAGAGCGTGAATTATGCCGACCTGCATCTAATCAAATCACGCTGTGTCCTTATTGGTTTAATCTCAGCATTTGAAAGGAAAACAAATTAATGTCATTAGAAAAACACTTGCCTGGCTTCATACTCTACTCTACTTTACCTGATTAACTTGATTCTGGAGAGATATGAGGAGGCCTTCTCGTTGTTCATCTTGTCCCTTAAGGCAGGTAAGGACCAGTGAGAGGAATGGTTGTTGGCTCAAAAGTGACATACTACAAAGCAAATCATAACAGCAGATCTAGTTAGAAAGAATGGATTACTTCCTTGCAACACTGACTTCTTGCCCTCGGGTTTTGGCTCACTATTTTACTAATAGTCAAAAATGGAGAGTTAAGTCATATCTCTACTGATTATATTAAAAGCCACAGGAATGCTTCTAAATAATTTAGTATTGAAGGCATTCCCCAAACTAGCATAAATTCATACTGCAACTGAGTGTGTAAGGGCAGAGAAGAAGAGAATTTGTATTTCACATCAGTAAGTTGCATTTTATAATACACATCAGAAGGAATATCACCTTATACACAGAATAAAAATTAAAATGTAAACTTCCTCTCACACAAAACTCTTATTTTAAGGTCCAGCCTTATCCGATTGCTGTGCTTATTTTATTTTTCAGCACATTTCTTGAGAACAAACAGTGGGATATTTACTGGTAGAGCTAAAATCAGAACCTGGTTCAAGTACCCAGTATCACACAGTAAATATCTTGCCAAATACCAGAGTGCTTGCTCGTGACCTGAGGAGCACAGCCCCTCCACCCCCACAGTGTAGTCTTCCAAGGAGTTTTAAGACATTTGGGCCCAACCAGTGTGGCTCAACGGTAGAGCCTCAACCTATGAACCAGGAGGTCACAGTTCGATTCCCAGTCAGGGCAGATGTCTGGGTTGTGGGCTCAATCCCCAGTGCGGGGCATGCAGGAGGCAGCCAATCGACGATTCTCTCATCATTGATGTTTCCATCTCTCTCTCTCCCTCTCCCTTCCTCTCTGAAAGTAATAAAAATATTTTTAAAAAAAGACATTTGGTAAAAATTCTATTAAGATTTATTCAATTATTAGAGAACAACTAACTAGTCATACTGATAAACTAATTGCTACACTGGAAAGAAAAATTTCTTTAAATGAGATTGAGACCAAAATATTTCAATCTGCTTCATTTTACATAAGCAGACTGAGAGAGACTGACTTGGGAAGGGCCATTTTGAAACTTTGTAAGAGCCTCTAGACCTCTCTGTGGCGCCGCGATGTACATACAATCACCCGTTAGCTAACAAACTTTGAGAACTAAGTTGAGTCATCTGGTTGGTTAATTAATGCTAGCAAACATAACAAAACAATCAGATAACAAACAAAATATGAGCAAAGTTAGGTCTCTACCAAATGTTCTTCAGTTAAGAATGCAGGATCAGAAACCAGACCACCTGGTGTAAACCCAGCTTCCTAACTGCGTAGCTGTGTTCTCAAAAAATTTACTTAACCTTCAGTCATCAGTTTTTTCATCTGTAAAAAGTGTATAGAGCTAAGATCAGCACCTGCTTCATGATTGCTGTGAGATTTTAAAAGTTTGAGTATATATGAAATAAATTTTATATAGGGGGTGGCATTTGTAAGAGCTCAATAAATGACCACTACCAAAATATTATTAATTAGAAGAAAATAATATTTCAATTTTTTTTATTTCCCCCATCAGTATTTATCCCCCCTGTATCCTCTTTCACTTCCACCCCCCACTCCCACACCCCCAATCAAACAGAAGAAATTATCATTATTTCCCCCTTATCCTTTGGTGCTAAATTCACGTTTTCACATTTGAGAGTGGTTTTAGACTTCTTCAGTAACACAGTCAGTTTTCAAATAGAATTATTTGAAATCTTTTCAGGGCACAAAATAAATTAACATTAAACTTCATGGTTTGTAAGTTTTAATATCTAATCTAGAACAAGAAACTTAAATGCTAAAAATATTAGTAACTATTTCAGGGCCCAACAAGACAGAACTAGAAATATTTCTATGTATTTTAAACACAAAGATCTAAGTAATAAAATAAAAAGAAAGAAAAGTGATTAAAAGGAGAAAACAGGGACCAGGTGGCAATCCAGGTCTGATTCAGGATGCAGTGGGGCTAAGAAGTCAGGATTTTCATAGCAGCAAGGATCGGGGTGCATAGGCGGAACTGAGAATGTGTAAACAGTATAACCTGGAACTTCTTAGGAACAGAGCCTCACCTAACAAAACATTTTCAATTTCATTTAATAACAAAATTTCAGTGGACTTGGAGGGCAGTGAACATGTATGTTTGCAGAATGCTAGATTTCTTTCTTTCAAATCAGACATAGAGACACAACTTGCAGGCATACCTTTTCTGTTTTTGTCTGTCTCTTTCCTTTTTTGAAGAAGAACCCAAGTGCTGTCCCTTCTCCAGCTCCTCCCCGGCAGCTTTCAGTACTCTTCCTTGCACAGAGGTTGGCAGCCTGGCAATGAGCGGGGCCACCAGCCACACACCCCTGCGTTCAGAGGAGCTAAAATCATGAAACAGGCGTTATGCCCAATGAGGCACCTTTTTCTCACAGTTATAACAGAAATTCCTATGTAAAAATTTTATATACAAGATACACTGATTATTCAGAAATTTCCCTTTCATTTCTATGCTATCGCACAGTAAATATCTTGCCAAATACCAGATATGTGCACACACTTTTCCATTCGTGCTTATAGAGGGCAATAAAAGACACAGTTCTGGGAGTATAACTAAAAGTTTGTTTAAAAATCAGCAAACATACTTTTCTATTATTGTGGCTCTCTGATTAGTAACAGTCCTTTTGTCCAACACTTTTTTGTCCTGGTTAAGATATGAAATGTTCTGGTTACATTTAAGCACACTGATAGCCTGTTTTTAAAGTTTTAGAATTCACTAGTTATACTTTACACCAAAGTGATGAAATAGAGCTAATCTGCCTTTCATGATTATCATTTATGCAAAAATGCTCATTTTTAAAGAAGGCAGAAAAAGTGTTTCCTATGTAACAAATACCACGGAACAGTGAACACTCAAGAAATTAATGCACCCTGAATGTCACCTGTGGTTCCCAGGAGTCTGGGCCCGATTAACCTAGTATTTAGAACACTAAGATACCATGCAGCCTGTAGCATTGCCCTTTAACTTATTATTAAATAATGATAACTGACACAAGTTATTACTTTCTTCATATTCCTGCAGCTTTATGAAAAAATATTTGATTATGCAAATAAAACACAGTTACATGTGAAAAATTAACACGAGACTACTAGTAATAAAGCCACAGAAAAAACACCTTAGAAATGTCTTTATTCCATTCTGCCTTGTGCTTCCTGCATCGGAGCTTCCCATCCCGTTCGGGTTGAAGAGCCCCGTACCGGAATTGGAAGAGTTGATGCTCATGTCAGCAGACTGCTGGAACACCTCTATGGTCGCCTTAGCAATGTTGTCCAGTAAGTTGTTCATTTCAGCCACCGAACCAGAGCCCTAGTGCCAGACACAAGAAAACTAGCACACATACATTTTACTTAAACCTCAAATGTCAACATGCTTTGCTTTTCATACAATTTTATACACATGCATGCTCTTCAGATATACTCACTGGGTCCTTCAAGCACTGCTTAATCATTAACTGAAGTTCTAGCCAGGACTGCCTCAGTGTCCACTGCTCAAGGTTCTGGGGGAAATGGAAATAACTAAGACATTAAGGACATTACACATGTCTTAAAACACAGGAATTACTGGCAGTTTCCCTATTTCAAGAAAGAGTAGAATAGTCACACGCAAGAAAGGGATCTACAGGCACCACTGCTTTTCAAAAGTTCATGTTAAATGCCCAGCCAGTGTGGCTCAGTGGTTGAGCATTGACCTATGAACCAGGAGGTCACAGTTCGATTCCCAGTCAGGGCACATGTCCGGGTCTTGGGCTGGATGCCCAGTAGGGGGCATGCAGGAGGCAGCCGATCAATAATTCTCCCTCATCATTGATATTTCTATCTCTCTCTCTCCTCTTCCTTCCTCTCTGAAATCAATAAAAATAAAAAATAAAAAAGTTTGTGTTAAGTACTTCACTTTTTCTTTTTAAATACTTTTATTGATTTTTAACGAGAGAGGAAGGACAAGAGAAAAACAACTATGTGAGAGCAGAACATCAATCTGCTGTCATGCACAC